AATTTCGATGTAATTTAATTCATTATTTGTTTCATTCAGGAAAAAATCTTTAAAAGAACTGGATATATTTGTTAATGAATAAAGACAGAAAATTAAACTTCAATCAAATGATTGAAAACTGTTATTGAATCTGATAGATCTGATGATTATCAGTTACTGTTACAATATAGTCAAACAATTACTTCATATGAATATGAACCATTCTTTTTTAAACTGCAAAACCAGAGATATTTAATTTGTTCAACCACCATTAATCAGTTAACTTTTAATGGAACTGTTTGATCATTTAAACATATGTTTATCAAGGTATTATGAAGACATAATTGAAAAAACATATTTGGGTACGTACATATATTTTGCTAAAAAAACTATTGTTAAAAATTAAATGATATAACTAAAAACGAATCCTTAAAAATGGAACCTTCAAGCTTTCAACAACATTAACGAGCTGCAGAACTTATATGGCACATAATACATACAACAGTTGAAGGGGGCACATTAATATGTACCTCCTCCATGTAATGGCACATAACACTATCTTACGTAAGCTGGTTTACACTGATTTAAATACATTATCGAAATGGAAACTAAGTTAATGCTTTGTTGTTTTGTTCTTGTATAGTTTTAATTTTGTAAATCTCTTATATAATTTACACTCTGCAAAGTTTTTTTTATTATTTCTTGTAATTTTAAATTTGTTAATTTCTTGCTAGATTTTATAAAGTTTTTTTTTTTTTTTTAGAGCGTGCAGTGATAGTGCTGTACATAGGAAACGATAGACAATCTCTTTAAATTCTAAATAGCTTTTCAGTTCCTATATCTGCATTATAAGTGCATAAAATATTGCAAACATTTTTATAGAATTTACTAATATTCGATACGTGCAACAAATACGTGCCAGAAAGGACATTGCTCAGAGATATGCCTTTTGATGAATCGATTAATTTACATTATCAGAATGGACATGAAATTAGTTTCATTTTTTTTCATACATTTCTTAAACAAAAGCTTCCTCTTTTCATATATTTCATACATAACTGCTTTATTTGTGCGAATTTGTATTCATGTTGTCAACTCCTGATAATTTTTATAACTTACTTTATTTGTTTCAAAATTTATTTTAAAAAATTTGATTAATTTTTTGTAATTACCGACAAAAAATTGTTTTCACTTTATTACATTCACTTACATTTAATTTATTAATATAATTACCACAAAAAATTACTTACATTTGATAATACACCATTATTCATTATTTTTACGAAGCTTAAAGATGTAACAATTTTTAGGCACTAAAAAAGATTTTTTTTTTTCAAAAACATGCATATATTTTATTGCAGCAATACTTTATTCCCTTGCCAAAAAAAAAATAAATAAATAAATAAATAAATCACTACCTTCTAAATTAGAATATCAGGTTTAAAATGACATGGTTAAAACAGAACAAAGGCAAAATAATGAAGGTTTAGTTTCATGTAATAATAAATTGTGCAAATAATATCTTTATGAAATCTAAAATTCTGGTCATGTATTTCATAATGTCAGTTCATCAGAAAACTTTCACCTGTTTAGTCCACAGAATCTAACATAAATTCTTTCAACTATATTCTTTAAAAAAAAAAAAAATTAAAGATCGAGTTTAATTAATCATCTAGTAATGATAATCAGTAAAGAGAGAAAGAAAACAAATTTTTTATTCATCAGTTTTTCATTTCATAATGCAGTAAAAACGAAATCGTCTCGTCTTCCTGGAATAATATAAAAGTTTAAAATTCCACAGTGAATTTTTTTTCCAAGTTATAAATCGTAAATGAAACAAAACAGGAAAAAAAGACAAGAGCTATAATGAAACAAAACAGGAAAAAAGGACAAGTTAAAAATAAAACGATGGGTGAATGAGGAGCAAAGCCAAGAGCAACTGGTCTTTTGCTGTGATGTCAAACTTTCATGCTCAGGCCATGTATGTATCTATAAAGTGTTGCCTTAGCTCAAAAAATATGGGTTAGTGACTTTCCTCAAGACAACAATTTCAGTACGTAAAATAAGAAATATATATACACTTCCCATGTCCTCACATACTGTTTTGAATAAAGAATTATTCAGAGTTTGAGATTTTATGAGGCTAATGACTTTGACATTCTCATCAAGAGCAATCTTATAACTGGGGAGTAATTTTTCTCCAGGAATGGTCCTATGGTATCTGTGTATGTAATCATAGGAAAATAAATGTCTGTTATCCTGGTTGGAATTCCTTACAATTTACATTTACATTTCTGAGATGCTGCATTTTTTACTTCTAATCTTATGGAAGAGAATGTGTGATATGATGTTATAGTTACCAAAAATGTTTACCAACAAACAAAATATTTAAATAAAAGCTCTCAATCATTTTATACTTTATGGCACACATCGAAAAGTGTCTAATATTCTGGCTACTTGCAATATTCTTTTATTTCCAAGTATATACGATTCCTCTGCATTTTTAAAACTGGGGAATTCCCTGTATTTCTAAATCTGCAGGATTTCCCATAGGTAGCAATCAATAAAGAAATCAGCTGGGAAATCATGGATAATGAGATTCCAGGTGATTTCCCAGCATGGCTGCTGTAAAATACTAAACATTTTCCCGACAGTGCAATTGCAGCTTGTGACGTCAGACTGTCGCAACTTGTGACATCAGACTGTCACATATGCATCGACTTCCAAATTAGTAAGATAAAGCAAAGATTAGTTCATATTCTACTTTTTAAATTTTACAGAGACACTAAATTTTATTGCTTTAAGTTACTTTCTTGAATGTTAATAAAAAACCCAAGTTTCACGGGACAAATGAGTGATTTCCATGGAACCCTACAGTTTAACAAATGTTGCTTTAAACAATAGATTGGAATGTCATTCAAGAAAAGAGTATAAGGTTTATTCAGGAAAAGAGTATACTAAAGAAGATAAAATGGAATTAGTCAGCAAGCCTATGAAAGAAACATTCTTCAAAAATTTGTGATGGAAGATTGAAAACTAGAGTCAACTCTTAACCTGAAGGAAAGTTTAACTATAAAGAAAAAGGAAGATAAGCCAAACACAGAAATTTTCCCTTATACTGAAGCTGTAGTGGCTTTGATGTATCTTATATTAGGTATAAGACCAGACTTAGCTTACTTTGTTGGCATTCTTTCACATCAATTTGGAAAGTCCTTTAAATGACAGCTGGAACAAAATGAAATGTTTAACTCAGATATATAATAGGTTTTCTGATAAGGTATTTCTCATGCCTTCTTAGTATGCCTCCGTGGTGTGTCGTCAGCATACTCAGTGCGAATTTAAGAAGTCCAGGGTTCGAGTCCCAGAGAGGGCATTGCTCATTTTTCATATCTCCTGCTTCAAAATAGCCTAATATCTCTACAGTGGTGCCCGAATTAAAAAGTGGTGAATGATGGTTTTCCACACCCAGGATTTGGCCATTGGGTGCCCTAAAACCCAAGTCACCCTTTAAAAGGGGGAGTATATAAGGTATTTTTCCTGCCTCCTTAGCATGCCTTCGTGGAGTATTGGTCAGCATGCTCGATGCAAATTCGAGAGGTCAGTGGTTTGAGTCCCAGCAAGGGCATTGCTCATTTTTCACATCTCCTGCTTCGAACTATCCTAATGTCTCTACACTCTTACTAAAGGAATTACATATAAAAATACAAATAAACCAGGAATACTGGAATATTATATTACACGGATTTTGGAGGATGTCAAGAAACAGGGAAATCTACAAGTGTAGTAGTGATATTACATAGTGGTAGAGCTATATTATGAATTAGCCGAAGGCAGTCACTTGTTGCAACTTTGCCAATTAAGCAGAGATAACTGTACAAAGTGACTATTTAGCGATGTCACCAAGTTATGTGAAATTCTAGTAATTCAAGTAGATAACATTGCTGCAGTCAGACTCACAAAATCCTGAGTCGCACTGATGTACCAAACATAACGATATCAAGTACTTTATGTGAAAGAACGTTCTAGAAAAGCAGATCATTCTGCAGAAGACACCTACAGAGGACCAAGTTGCTAACATAATAAACCTCTATTTAAAATGAGACTGTTGATTCTTTGTGACAAGATGGGACTCTTGTGACTTTCTCTTGTAGTTTATTATTATTACTGTTACTTTTTTAATGACAGAAAGAAGGGTTAATGCATTTTTCTTAAAAGAAAGAAAGTGAATAATAACATATAATGTTAAATTCTGGCAAGAGTGAAAGTTGTTGTCTTAAGGAGATCGTGTTTCACGATGCTATTGTTCAAGAAGATGTAGTTCTACTTAAGTTAGTAATTCAAATTAAAACTTATTTTTTGCTCTGCTATTTGTATACTAACAGTTTTTCAGATAGCACTATTAAAAGACATCAAATTGTTATTAAGGGGCACATATAAGGACTAGCAATATGGAGAATTGGGGTTAAGGGACACAACTCCAATTTTTTTTTTTTTTTTAATTAAGTAATATGCACCACTTCTTGGGTGTTAAAACTGTATCCAAGAAGATACAGACACTTTAAATGTACTATTTTCGTGGCCTGCAATTCCTTCCTTTAAAGTGACATTTAAGTTATGTTATGCATGTATTTTTAAAACTTATTTAAAATGCAACACATAATATATGACAGATTTATTACCAGTTTTCATAATTTTTAAATAACAAAGTAACAAATTTAAATTTTTAATAAGAATTTTTAATTACACTTTAAATGTATTACTTTTGTGGTCTGTAATTCTTTCTTTTAAAGCGAATTTAAGATATATGCATGTATTTTTATACTAGCATCCTATTTACAATATATGACAAATTTATTAACAGTTTGCAAAATTTTTAATATGCCTTTCACAAAATGCCCGGTCTGAGGTATTTTGAGCAAAATCTTGGAAATTATCCCCTTTCAAAGAAAACAACCCTATATTAAGTACATTTGAGGGGTGATATTGTATTTTATTAGCAGAACAGTACAATGTGGTTACAGTATAATCACCAACCAGAAATTTTCAAATTTAGCTGGCAAGACAATGAATTGCTTAAATTCTGCAGTATGAACTATATTATCATGTCACACAAATAATGACAAAATTATCTCAAATAAAAAAATCATGTTTTCATTCATACATAAATTTATCTACTGTGTACAAAAACCATTACTAAACTGTATAAAGTACTTACATCCCTCTCTAAAATTGGAGCAAAAACAGAAGATGAATACTGATCTAAATTGCATAACACGTACACAGCAGCCTGCTGCATATCAACTAACAAACTGTCATCTTCAGGAATAGACATATAGTGTAGAAATACTTCAGTTGGACTGACAGTTGCTTGTACCTCCTGCTGACGAAAAAATAAGGTTCAGGAGAAAAGAACTACACTACGAAAAAAATCAGCAAATTTAAGGTACACATACTTCAGAAAAAAAATATATATATATATATATATATATGCGTGTGTGTGTGTGTTGTAATAAATTTTGTATATATGTAAGTGATTTTAGTAATATCATATATAAATCGCAGTATCTCTTAATATAATATGAAATGCCTCGAGAAAGCTAAGCTGCACCAGAAAAGTAAGATTTCAGCAGCATGTCCATTTCATGCTGATGTAAATGGCAAGATAGCGCCAAGCTGGTGATGGTTTTGGTGACTAATTTTGGTCAAAAATCTGAGAGAAATTCCAAAAACTCGGCAAATTTGGGATCCATTTGACGACATTTCAGTTCAGCCCTAGTGTAACTGCCTTGCAGAAATTTTGAAAAAATAGAAGGCTCTACAAATTTCTTGGCAGCCAGAGGAAAATTACACTGACTGGAAACAGCATCAGTTCCCAGTTTATAGATCAGAGTTGACTTCAGAGTATTGTGAGATCTCCATGCAAGCTTCACTCTTTAAATGTGCTCTGCACTGCTTTGTGTGTAATGTTCTTAGTAATTTGAGGTGGTAACTAGTGATTGTACTCTGTCATACTGAGAAGAGCTGTGTGAGCACTTTTCTGGAACATTTATTTTGGAAAAATAAATTATATCAAGCTATCATTGATTCTATGTGCATTCAATTTATTATGAGCCCATACACAGGCAACAATTTTTTGGTGCCAGAAGTGGGATTGAATGCTGGTGGCAAGACAACAGAGTAGCAACTAAGACAGCTGGTGAGAGTTCCCAGCATTCCAAGATGAGAGGAAAGGAGCTATCAAGTGTGTTAAAGAATAGATGAAATGGACCAAGAAAAGACTGAAACAGGTCAGAAAGAAATAGAAATTACTGAATAGGAGAAAACAAATTCGAGGCTATGGAAGGCAGAAAAGACATGGTTGAAGAGTTTGAGAAATTCAAGAAAGAGTTTTTACTGTCGAACAGCAAACTGATGACAGAGTTCAAGCTGCTATTACTATTGAATGCTGAAAGGCTATATGATCTCTCTTTCTTACTCTGCCCCATCAGCAACAAGGGAAATCCTGACCCTCCAGTGTTTCATTGATTGCCCTCAGGATACTGAGATACAGAAAGGCCTGCAAATAGCAGACGTCAAGAATCTAAAAAAGCACTTTAGTGCATGCCATGAAATATCAGGCAACATAGCAAGCGACTCATAGAGACTACGATCCGATCACAGCCGCTCATGTCCAGGAGCCAATGTATCAACTGACTGCTAATGTAAATGATTTAACCTGGAAAGTCAACACCTTGAGGAGGAATAGGACTGAAAACAAACTTGCCCCAAAATGCTGGAACTGCAGTGGTGAAGGCCACATACAAAGTAACTGCAGATCACCCTAAGGCATAGAAGCTGAGACTACATCACAGCAAGGAGGCAGGAAACAAACTAGTGGCCATCTTGCAGAGCAGAAGTTGAAAATTATTGAGAAGCCCCATATTAAAGCACTTCAGATTTCTGCAATCAGTGGCAGCAGTAAATGAGTGGCATCAGTAATTAACTAAATTATTAGGAAACATGTCTATCTAGTATTCTCACAAATATTACAACATTCAGATTATATTATAGGAAGTATGTATGTTATACAATATGACAGAGATTAAGGTTCTAACTCATATGCAGCTCTTATCCCTTCCGATTGCTTGCTATGGGGGCTTTTCTTCATGTGGACAACTTCCTACAAGATTATTTTTCCTGTCAACATTCACGACTATGGGGTTTCTTCTGTTGCTTTTTTCTGGTCACTATCAGTTGCATTTTACTTTCATAAAATTTCTGCTAAATTAAAATAGCTATTTTTCTTTCATTTTGCACCTATATGAATTTGTTGTTATTTTTATACAGCTGAAGTTTGAACTGAGAAGGATAAACTAAACAAAATGTAATGGAACTGTCAAACTTGGCAATTGATAAGGCAGTTGCCAAAATTGAACAACTTTCATTAAAGATTTGCAACATGAAAAATTATGCCAACTAATATTATGTTATTAATAATTTCAGGTTTACAAATATGCAAACTATATGGAAATATTACACTACTCAAGTTTATTTTAAAATTAATTTGCTTTTAATAGGTCAGTTATAATTTCTGCAAGATATTAAATATAGAATACTATATTGGTAGATACATTACTTGAAAAACATACACAGTCAGTGAATTTTTCTACTCGGAAAATGCATGTAAACTGAAATCTATATTGCAACCAATTATCAACAGAATAGGAATTAGCATATACTTACTTCAGATATATTCACTTCCATTGCATTATGTTTGTAGTTCAGTATTGCTTGAAATTTTTTCAGAATGGGAACAAGAGGTGCACAAGTTCCAAATTCTGCAACCCTTTAAAAGTAAAATTTTTTATACATTTATACACTGCCATTACATAATAGTTTGACACAAAACAAGACATACCTGTTATCTACAACACAAGATTGGCTTTTCCATAACTTAATAAGAAGCAAAACAACATCTAGAATACTGCGCAATGTGGCTTGCTGTACTGCTAATTCTAGAAGAATTGCCAGTGACAACTGTTTATCATTGACAGGAATTTCAACATGTTCTTTGGCATTTTCAATGCCAGCAGCAAAATCTCTAAAAGTACAAAGCAATAAAAATCACTAGTAAATAAATGTAGCTAATTCTAGGATAACTTTTATGAAAAACAAACATATTGTATCTCAAATAAAACATACCAGAAGGACTGCAAAAGAAGAAAATCTACAAAAATTATCAGTCAAGTAAAACTTTAATTACACATGTAAAAGAAATCTATTCCACATGTAAAAGAAACACGTCTGAAAGAAATATTTTACTTTAAAACTGAAAGCTATTATAGCATACTCTAAAATCTTAAAATTTCTCTGTATTCAATATGCTTTGAGAAAGATCATTGAACTATTTACTTTTATTCTGTGGATAATAAAAATTTTAAATATATCTCTGCATGTACACAAAGTGATTCGAAATGCTGAATAAGGAATTAATTTCCTTAAATATTTATAATAGACATAAGTAATTTCATTTAAAAAGATTCACAATGTTGTAGAGACATTAGGTATTTTTGTTTGGAGGCCGGAGAGATGTAAAATTAGCAATCGCCTTCGGCAGGAATTGAACCATGGACCTCTGGAATACCGGCCCAGCGTGCAGAACCACTACACCACGAATGATAGTATTTATTTATAAAGTATAACTTTAAGTTTTAATATTTTGGAAACATTGATATAAAAATTGTAAAATGAATGAGTTAAAAAAAATATCTGGAATTGAGAGAGTTTCTTGTTATGGTTTGGTAGAATGTGGTAAGATTTCATATGACTGATTGTTTTTTTTTTTTTTTTTGATAAAGTTTTCTTTTTGTATATTGCCATAATGTGTTTTTGTTAGAAGTGGATGATTGTTTTAGAATGTTTTATATGCCAAACCAACATTTGGAGCACAGCGTGATGCCCCTTCTGTTAATAAACTTCAGATAGAACATTGATGTTGTTTTTAGACTTAACAAATCACCAATTCTCTAACAATAAATTAGACTTGTATTTAATTAGTGAATATAAATTAGAAAATATGGCATATATATGATAAATTTGAGTCATATAGAAAAATTAAGTGATGATAATTATCTTATTTGGACCAATAGAATTGAAATTGAATTAAAAGTTTAAATATGGAGAAGTGTGATAGAAACTGATGAACCACACCCAAACCCATATAAAAAGAATGATGTTAATTTTGCAAATGAAATAAAAACTTGGGAAATATGGGATAATAATAATGCGATAGCAAGAAATATAATGAATCAAACTATGACAGCTCCACAAGCATTAAAATATGCGAATGAAAAGAACGCAAAGAAGTTTATGGAGAAAATTAAAAATGAAATGGCGCAAGAACACAAGATATTCAAATCAAATGTAGAATAGAATTAGCTGAACTGAAAATCAGTCAAAATGAATCAGTAGATGATTATATGAATAGAGCTGTAATTCTGAAAGTAAAGTATTCAAGCTGGAGATGAATATGAATAACGAATTAATTTACTTCATACTAGTAGGACTTAGAAAGGAATTTGAATTTGATGTTTAAAATTATTAAAAGCAATAAAGAGAGCTAGCTTCAATTAGACAACTTTAAAAGAAACAAAGGAAAAAATAAACAAAGAGGAAGAAATAGAAGTAAGTTCTAAGGCAAAAGAAAACTGGATAAAATCGAATATGAAGAAGATGCTTTAATTGTGGAAAATTAGGACATTTAATAAAAGAGTCGAAATAATATAATGGTAATAAGTGCTTTTGCTGTGGAAAAGAGGCCACAAATCAACTGAATGTAAAATGAAAACTAAACAAGAACATCAAAAGCAGAGAAATTTAACAAATAAAACTTTAGAATGTCAAGCAAGGGAAAGAGAATATGACAGCTACATGCTTATATGAAGTATCTAAGAAAATAGAAAGCTCATAAATCTTAATCAAGATAGAAATGATGGAAGAATAAAATAAATAAACAAGAGAATAGGAAAATTAAATGGATTATTGATTCAGGAGCCACATCTCACGTGGCAACTACTAAAGAAATATTTACTAATTTTAAAGATGAAAAATGACAAATAATGGCAGCTGAAAAAAGGGCCATGATCAAATGAGTTGGTATTGGTAACATTAAGATGCAAACTAACAGAAATAAGATCATCCTGAGAGTAGAAAATATTCTGCAAGTACCGAATTTAAGTGAAAATCTGCTGTCAGTATCACAAATTGTAGAACATGATTTAAAAGTAATTTTTACGAAAAATAAAGGAGAAGTTATCAATAAACAGGGAAACATTCTATATATAGCTAACAGAAATGGAAATAAATTTGAAGTTGAAGAAAATATTGTTGAAGAAGCTAAAATTAGTTATGTTAATGATGTACTATGGCATCAGAGACTAGGTCATATAAATTATCAAAGGCTGATAGAAATTAAAAAACACTCATCGGTCATTGGATTAGAAAATGTAAAAATTTCTCAAAACAATTGTGAACCTTGTACATTAGGAAAAATAACAAGAACATCTTATAAAAGTGTGAAATTTAAGCAGTCTGAAGATATTTTAGAATTATGGCACATAAATTTAGTTGGACCAATTGAGAAATCAATAGATGGAAGCTGTTATTTTTTAACAGTGGTAGATGATTACAGTAATTTCATATTTGTGATAACAATTGAGAAGAAGAGTGAAACTTCAGAAGCTCTAATCAAACTTATCATTCAATAAGAAAGACAAACAGGAAAGAAACTAAAAAGAATTCGTAGTGATAACGGTGAGTTTTCAGCTAAAAGTATAAAAGAGTTTTTTGAAAAAATGGGAATTAAACACGAACTTACAACCCTTATACTCCGGAAAGTAATAGAAAAGCTGAGCGTTTTAATCGTACTATAATTGAATCTGCTAGAACTATGCAGAATTACCGATAAAATTTTGGTCTGAAAGCGTTAAAATAGCTGTACAAGTGAATAACAGGAGTCACAAAAATGATAAAAGGTTTACACCATATGAACTATATAAAGGACGCAAGCCTAACATTAGTTATCTTTTAATTTGCATGTGAAGCATATGTTCATATAAGACGAGAAAAAGTAGAAAGATGGATCTAAAAGCTCAAAAAGGAATTATGATAGGCTATAAGCATGAAGAAAAAAGCATACAAAATTTATATCCCTGAACTAAATAAAATTCAAGAAGTGAGAGATGTAAAATTTGATTAACAGGAACTTGAATCACCTTTACTAAAAGAAAATTATTTAAAATTCGATAAAAATCAAACATTAGAAGAACTTATTATTTTTTATAAGGAACAAACTAATGGAAATGTAAACAATTCAGAAATACTGACAGATACTATAGAGAAGATAATACAACATATGAAGAAGCTGAAAAAATTTTGCCATCCAACAGTGATGATGAACACGACGATAACAATTCATTGGAAAAGTCAACCGAGTATCCACGAATAAATGAAGAACCTGGAAATGATAGTCATGGAAATTCTGTACAGAAAAGACCAGTGTGAACTACGAAGCCCACAGAAAAATTAAAAGATTATGTAGTATACAATACAAATGAAGGATTACCTAAGACATATGATGAAGCTGCAGAATCTGCTGAAAGTGAATTCTGGCTACATGCAATGACAGAAGAACTGAGTTCAAGGGAAGCTAATGAAGTCTGGGAATTAGTTGAAAGACCCACCGATAAGAAAGTTATTAAAAACCACTGGATAAAAACCAACAACGAAGGCATACTAGGAAAGTGGGAAAAATAAGGTATAAAGTTTTATGAAAAGAGATTCGGTACCATGGACGAGAAAGATTCTGTAAAGTAACGTGTATATTTTTATTATCATCAGAATAAAAGCTCAAATTAGTAAACATTTAGTGCATTTTCAAAAACAGCTGGTTGGAAATGCACCTTTTTCTTTTGCAAAGATTAGCTAAAGAAACAAATAGCATTTAATTTAATTCAAATATTTAATATTTCTACAGAAAAGACATTAATCATGAGAATACAATTAGCTGTAATGCTCTAAATGTAAAAGAGAATCAATTTTGTAATGCAAGTATTTAATTTAGTAAAAAATGTAATACTGTACCAATTAAACAAAAGAATTATGAAGATTACAGAAATTTCAAAGTTAAAAAGCACAATCACGCAACCATTTACTATACATTTAATAAAAAATTCTTTCCAGTTATTTAATAATATAATCCAAAAAAAATTATTTCTTACTCTAAAACAACAGCACGTAAAAATACTGTAGCCTGCTCTATTGTTGTTCGCCACACAGGAGATAAAGAACATATATCAAACAAAGAAGCATATGGAAGTGCACGAAGAGTCATGAGTGATTCTTGTAAAAGTTCACTACAAAGATCCGCATCTTCACCGGATCTCCACGCTCTTCTCAGAGAAGCAAATGCAAAACTCATTCCAATAGTACATCCAACCATCGCAAGTGCAGCTAAAGGTTTTTCACATGGCATACTGAAACAAAATAACAACATATACTTGAACTACATAATGTAAATACAACAGCTAGACAAGAAATTTAAAAAAGATAAATGGGAATACAAATATAGCACAAACTTAGATATGTAACAGACGGAAGGATCTACTACCACATTCCCCATAACTTCATTTTAGACTTTTTTCCTGCACGTATAGGAATGAAGAATATGATAATGAAAAAGAAGTAAATGTGCTCAAAATCAGTTTTCTTCTCAATTAGCTCAGATTCCTTTTGCATAGAAAGATCATTATCTGCAACAATACTGAGGCATCGTGCAAACTGCTTCTTTTCTAAGCATCTACCAGCAGTGGCGTAGCTAGGGTGGGGCAAGTGGGACATCTGTCCCCGGGCGCAGCACCCAAGGGGTGCCAAATTGATGCTACGAAATTTTTTAATGAAATATTTTTCATTTTTGGCACACAGAAAGGGGCACAAATTCTTCCATTGTCCCTGGGCGCTGGAAACTCTAGCTACGCCCCTGTCTATCAGCAAGCAAAAAAGATTTTTCTATTTAACTCTTGAGTAGTTTTGGGGAAAGAGCATTTATGAAGTTTCTTATTTAGCCCTATAAGCAGTAAATGATGCTTGGAGACAATGCTAGTTTGGAATGGAATGTTGCACATACTGGTTTTCTTTTGTTGCCAGAAGCAGGAAAGAAGTATACCTTTCCTGCTTGTGGCAACAAAAGAAGTTCGCATACCACAAGTTTGCATCAGAAATTAGCTTTGCATTAGCTTTAAACTCTTCTGATGTACACTGCGCAAAAAAAAGGGGGGATATTAGGATAAATATCAGCAACAGATTAAAGTGTACACAGTTCATGATGAAAATGCTGTCCAGAAAAGCTGTGAAGCCCTTTGAGCCAGTGGGAACAAAAATAGTATAACATAATAATTATCATGTACAAATTTGGTAAATGCAAGATTCAGCCTGCAATATTAACAGAAAATGTGATTACAATCATAGAATAACATAATTAAATAGTACAATTAAAAACTAACAGTAATATACAATACAAAAACATGCCATACAGAAGGTAGCCAAGGTGCAATTCACCTTAATCCAGAGTGTCACTAAGAATGGCCATAGGTCTTTTGATGTTTCATTGATCATTTACGTCATAATCATAGATTTTAATTGTAGGGTTATTAATGGACTCCAGGTCTTTACAGAATTTCTTAGCAAGGCGATAGTAAAAGGTCCTAATATGGTCAATTTTCAGTTCAGTATGCAGTCTATGATTTCGAACATACCATGGGGCATTGGTAATTTCACTATAAACGGTGAATCAACTTTTAAATTGTTGCGACCAAATATTATCACCCTATATTATATTTAAAGAAATTAAATAATGAAGAATCTGCATGAATATATGTATATTTCTCGCATTGTGAAAAAACGACAGTACCTATAGCCATCAAATTTTGAATAACGTGATCCTCCACCCGGGCATACGAACCTAGAAACCTGGATCTTTAATTTCAAATTTAATTTATTATCTCTTTCATATTTTGTAAAACTTTAAGGGATTTCTGATTAGAAAATTCAACAAAGCGAGAGTGGCAACACTGTAAGGAATAAAACATTTTTATCTCCAGCGTCTGACTCTATAATGGAAATTCTAAAGATATACTGTTTAGTGTTTTTAAATATTTTATGATATTGCTGTGGAATTTATGCCCTTTATGTGCAAAGAACATAATATTTAATAAATAAAGATAACACACAAAACGTCAAAAAATGTCCCTTTGGGTGTATTATAAAATCTGAAAGCTTTCAGACTTTCTTTCAATGTGTTTAATTTTATCATTCCTTCTCAAAGCCCAAATTAGTGTTAGTATAAAAGGGCTTTTAGTTTCGAAACGCCATTTTGCATCGAATCACTTTAAATGCCCAAATCATTTTTCCAAACTTGTCACCAAATATTATCGTCCTGTATTTATTTAAAGAACCTAAATAATTATAATCTACATGAGCGTATGTATGTTTTTCGTATTGTGGAAACGTTATCTAGAGTCATCAGATTTTGGATCACATACTCCTCCACCCGAACAAGGGCACTTGGAAGCCCGAATTTAGGAATCTGAAATTTGTTTTTATTGTCTATTTTATATTCTGTAAAACTTTAACGGATTTTTGATTAAAAAACTCAACAGTTTCAAAGCGAGCAATGGCAACACTGTAAGGAATAAAACATTTTTTGCCTCCAGTGTGCGAGCCTGTGTATCGGAAATTCTAATGATATTCTGTTTCTAAATATTTTTAGCCCAAAGTGGCGTTAACCCAAATGCTCTCGAAACATGTATGTGTCTGTAAATGAAACAAATTGCCCGTTTGGACCTAATATAAAATCTGTTTTCATTTTTTAATTTATTTATTTTTTTGGGTACTGAACCCAGTTTTACATAACTTTTCAACCAAATATTTTGCGCTAGCATTATTATTATTTTATATAAAACGTTTTAGAAAAGTATTTAAAATAAATGGATCTTATATCAAGTTAAAGAAAGTGCGTAACTGTCATAAGAAAAACTGAAGCAAGGAGGATAAAAAGTTTCACAGGTCGTATTTTTAAACTAATCTAATTAGCTTATTATAAGATAAAGACTGTTATTTTTTTTTTGCGATGATAATAATAGAAAAATAATGGGAATAAAGATGCCTTCAGATTTCTTTATGAAGAGTAATTATTTATATTAAAATAAATTTCTTAATTCTGAATTTTAATAAACAGAATCATATTCGCATGAGGTTTGCATATTTCATAAAAAGCATGTGCATATTTGTATCCTATAAAATAATTTGTTAAAATTCTACAGGGTATTTGAATAGGCTCCAGACACTCTACTTCATAAAATAACAAGCAAATATTTATATTACATACAATAATGCCTTTAATACATCAATTCACCAAATGCACATGATATTATAACTTTGCTTATAATATATATATATATATTCTCTATTCGAGCTTTTATAAAAGGAGAGTTATATAAACCATTTAGTAGGAATGAAACTTTTTTACAGCTCTCAGCTGATATTATGATGATGCATTATAATGTTGTGCAGCCGTTATTTACTTTCTTATATAACTGAATGAATTTTAAAATATTTATTCATCTTCTTGAATTCATTTCATAGCTCTAAAATTATTTTCCATTATATTTTGGTGAAATTAATAGTTTGTTTTGAGAACGAAAAATTATATCTCAAATGATTTTATCATTTCTATTTTAGAATAATGCCTATTTATCCGGGAACATCTTTAAAAGAGTACAAGCGGTTATGATTTTAATGTAAGAAATTAACTGAACAAAATTAAGCTTTCAGTTACGCACTATTTCGTCTATGAATGCATGAGAGACATGTGTGAAATTTAAGTGTCTGCAAAGTGATTGTGCGAAAAAAGTGACACTGAATGTGTTGTTCCTTATCCTAAAGAAAATTTAGAGAAATAAGACGGTTCGTAGCACTGATAAGAGATGCTGAAACGATCGAAAACTGTGTATAAAAATTTTAAAATGCAACTTCTGTGTAGTTAGTGCTTGAAAATAATATTTGAAATCTCTCCTGCAAAATTTTGATTAAAAATATATATCAGTTAATTTGCATCAGACGAGTATGGATTTCTTATTCTAATAGCACACTGAAAAACATATTTTTCATTGACATATTTACTTATCAAAAAAGAACGAAAAGAAATTTGCTTCATACATTTGTAATAAAATGAGTCAAAAACTGTCGTTGTGTGGAAGCCTATTTTGTTATTATTTATTTATCTATTTATTATAAATTGAAACTATCTTTTTGTTACTCTATAATACCAAGAATACATTTTTAGAACTGGGAAAGAAAATTACAATTAGAATTGAAAGAAAATATGAATTTCACAAATTTTTCGCATTTTACAAAATATTTAAGAATTAATAAAGCAATACTGAAATAAAATATACTAAAACACAAAGTAAATGGTAACAAATGACCCAGATATAAAAGAATTTTGCTTTTTTTATAATACTTATTTCATCAATTCTTTTTTATTTGTCCACAAATTGATTTCTTTCTCAACGTACTCTTGCTCCGAAAGTGAATACCAAATCGTACGTTTGGTATCATTGACAGTGACAAGAATGATATTACCACATTTGTATTAATTACGGAAATACGAGCCAGCTCCGCTTAGAAAGTCCTGAGTTGAAGCTTTACTGCTCTTAGGCACAGAGTCAAGAGTATTAATTACGAGATTAACATCACTGGAAATGTAAATCACAATAGTAAGCATTGATTGTTACTCATGCCTATTAAAACATATCATATTATGATAATTATCTCAAAAGATGATACGCCCACCAATGGCCAAGCAGTAAAATTGCTGAACACGGGTAGTTCGGTTCTAATCCCAGCAAACTGGCTGGCTGCATGGACGTTTTCATGATTTTTCCATTGTGTAACATGTATAGAAGCCATTTTCTCTTAGACAGTTCTCTATGAAGGCATCCCTCCTTTGGCAGATAGCCTTCGAGAGCTTTTTCAAGTAAACCAAACCAAAGAGAAATATTTCAAACGAAGCATAGATATTAAATTTTAAATAGTTCTATTTTGTTCTTAGGCTGTGAAATTATTTGAGTGGACGATGAAGGAAGGATGCCATAAAAACTGCACATAAAATGTTAATAAGATGTGAAAACTGATTTCAAGAAATACATGCATATATTGGCCTTTTTAGTAAAACCCCAATCATAAGTATTAACTAATGAATTTAAAAATAAATGGTAATAAGTACCTAATTTAACACAGCTCATTAGTCCTTAATTATAAATAACGTCCACTGAACACTAGTAGTTTGATCTGGAATTGAGTTTTCCCACTGTGTAACGTGAATACGAACCAGTTTTCTTTAAAAAGCCTTCCAAGAAGGTATCCCTTCCCACACAGAGACAACCCTCCTTTGTTTTAATTAACCGTAGTCTTAAATAACAAATTGTTTTCCCAACCAAAGTCCTCCATGAAAGTTAAAGTTGTCTATCTTTATCGAAGCATCTAATTGCGTCATTTCAAATCTTGATATAAACAAATAATTGGAAATTCTTATTTCCTTTTTTGAAATTTTTTGCATCACCCAGATCACCTTATATTTCCACCTTCGTATAATGTTTGTGACGAATTTATAAAAAGCTATATACATTTCTTTTTCTACTAACAACTATTTTTCATAAATATTTACTCTTACCTCCTGAGAAGTTTATGTCCCAGCCGTTTCGCAATTTGGAAATAAACTCAACATCATAACAGTAAAATATTCATAATCAAATATCGTTCGGACCTTTTTATTCGATGACACTTTCAGTAAAACAAAAGTATTTTGCTTAGGCTAAAAAATGCATCATACGATTTCATGTATTTTCAGCACTTTATTTTATCAACGCCAAAAAGCGATTTAATCACATACGATATTATTTGCAAATGATTTTCATATCATGCCAAGGAAATTTCTCAGTAGTTCGTTTTAGACGAGAAATCAGAAATGTAAAACGAATTTTTCTTTTAAGGAAATGCACCTTGTCCTCATATTTCTTAATAAAATATCCATACTTCACATTCACACAACTAAATGAATTTCGATACAAACATATAAATGACACATTAGTTTGAAATGGAATTACAAGATTTGAACTCTTTAAAAAATCTCATTTTTATTTCAGAACAATTATTCAAAATATATATTGAAGTAACCCTTTTTGTGAATGGTTACAATAATTTAAAAAATATAATATTTTTAATCAATGCGCACAGCTACAGAAATTATATCAAATTTCTCTGTTTCTACAGTCATTGTAAGATACCCGTTTAAGTATTTATTCAATGTTAAAAGAAATTATTTGTAAATTAGGTGATGCTGAATTCTTTAAAAGTTATTCGTGGGTTCCGTGCAAATTACATTTACTTTTGCAGAAGAAGTTTTGTTTCGCAAATTTTGCACATACAGAAAGATTTGCGTTGAAGGCTTTCGAGTATTTTCGTTTCGGCACGAAAATCACCCTCAGGTCGGCAGATGGTACGGCTGGATTTGATGTTTTCATTTATGACCCTCCCATTGTAACATCTTTCTCTAACAATCGCTGTTTCCCCACTACCAATTAAGCGCGACAGGAGGTCGGAGGGAACGATAGTACAGAATATTCCGTCCTCAACGATTTTGAGGTGGAAAATGTAAGGCAGAAAAAATCGTTTGAAACGCTTTCGGATTCATCAAAAGCTGGCAAAACAATCCGTGTGTGACGATTTGGAAAGCCATCTTTCAATACTGAAAAATCCATCCGTAATGCTGAGAGGGTTAATATACGTCTTCAACATATTAAACACAATTAATTCAAATAGACTCATGAATCTATTAATTTTTATGAGCAAAAATTTATAATTTTACGTGTGCTATAGTACAGAATATCAAAAACAAAGATGTACAAGTTGTCAAAATATAATATCTTTAAATGAAAGGAAAAATACTTTTTTAATACATTTAACAAATGGCATTTGGAGATGATTTTGCTGCTTGAAATCTGAGTAACTAAATACTGAAAATTTAGAAAACATCTTAAATTGTTTAAACCTTTCAGTCCCAATTTATTTGTTTGTTTCAACTGACTTGATTTTTTTATGTATTCTTGGTAATTATCACAAGTGACACAAATGAAACTAACAGTCTGTCATGAAGCCTCTATAAGAAGAGGCGTGCGACAATTTTGTAGTGGGCACGTTAGAAATGATGCCTACTACCAGTGGGACATCAACTATGTAGTAAATTGATGTGTGTAATTCCATCTAGGTTTCTTTAAACATCTACTGGGATTTATATAACCCATTGGGATTGAAAAGGGGTAAAGGAAAGAATTAAATGCTGTATTTCACCGCACTTAAAACTTTCAGAATATTGATTTTTTACAAAAGTTCATTTTTTTTATAAATGATTTAGTTTCACATTTTATATTCAGTTATTTTATTCATAAAATTAATTTTTTTCTTTCATTAATAGTAATTATAAAATAGTAATTATAACAGTTAAAATTTTCTGAGGAAATTGGTCACTGTAAGTTCAATAAATAACTACGAAATTTTTGAATAAAATGTATATGAAAAATTAAATAATACTTTTAAAGTGCTAAGAAATGTCTAAATCTAAAAGTAAATGTAAGCAATCCAATTTGATTAATGTTGATTTGATTAGCGACCACTCAAAATTCCGTATTTTTGTAATCTTGTGTGGATGTGGTGAACTTGCATAATGATCAAAACCTACGTTTGTTGATCTCAAAAACACTGTTTGTCTTAAGGAGATAGTCACCAAGGAGGTTCACTGCAAGCATACATTATTTCTAAGAAAAAAAAAAAAAAAAAAAGAGGCTGTGTGAAGATTTTTTGAGATTTTTCTAAAGTATAATGTGCATATGAACCAGTTCCTGAGAATGTACTCCACAAAGGAATCCCACCCCTTAAGCAGATAGCCGTAGCATGCTTTGTCATAATCTAATAAATCCAAACCCTACTGAAATATTATATAGCTGACTTTCGTCATAACTAACAAATTGACAACTGCCTGCAGGCTGTGCATAAAAATTTAATTTTAATAACACTTTAAGAATAAACTGAAACAAAACAAGAAATAATTTTCACTATAAGAGTATTAGATTAACAAACAGTGAAGAAAATAATCTCACAATTAAGTTAGCAATTTTTTTATAGATAAGGTCATGTAGTTACTTTCCTTCCCTTTTCTAATCTTTTTTTTAGATTATACTTTTGATGAAAAATTACCAGTAAAAACTTTATAAAAAATAATTTATTAATTTCCTTTGTTATTTAACCATGTCAGTTTAAAATTCTGACAAGTGCTATAAGTTGCATTAATTTTCTATGCTTAAGTTTCCTTCTTACTTTATCAGCAAAAATTTATTAGTTAATAAAAAATACGAAAGTAAAAATTATCCTTTTTCCATCTTGCACTCGCAAATCATTATGGGAATATCCATTCACAATTATTAAAGCCTGAAGAAAAGCATGTCTGTGATGTTATCGTCATGCGATCATTTGTAGATACTTTATTTTTTTACCACAATATTTTTACGACGATGTTTATAGACTGCGAAGTTTTTTAATTGCTTCATTTTCGATGACGATATTTTGTACCACGATGTTTTAGAACTGCAATGTTTTCGCCTTGCGTTCTTTTCTCCATGATGTTTTCGGCTGTAACCCACTTCTGGTGTTAGAATCACTGTTGCTGTGAAATTCCAACAGCTTTTCTTTATTTTTTCGTATATCATGCACTGTCCGGGTCCCAATTCCACACGATTATACAATAAACCGAGGAGTAGCACCTGCCTTCATCTTTTGCAGAATTTTGCATTACTGTCAATGCAACATGTTTACGTTTTCCAATGTTGCAAGCAGTAAAATCAAGAGTGCATTTCTTACCTGTCATTGTATTAAAAAGGGCATTGAAATTTAAAATATTCTTAATTTATCCACAAAATATTGCAATAAAAAAAGGGCAGCACTAAACAATCTCATGAAATAAAAAAGTTCAGAAAATACAACATGAATTGTGAACTTGAGAGAAGAGTTAAGTAAATCGTCTGTTTTACCTTGATGCAGAGTGGAGGGGGGAAAAAATTACTATGATGTCAATTATTTGGTATTTCTGTTATGACTCATTATTATTTGGTAATTATGACGTCATTATTCGGTAAGTATTTTTCCTTCGGTATTTCATTCTCCATGTTATGGTTTCCGGAACCTATGAATTGGATGTTAATATTTTGAGAGGCAATGCAGATTTTAGGAGTTGGCGAATTTCAGGTTGGTGGATTTGGGGTATTTGACTGTACCCCTATCTATGAAAATATGTGTATATTCATAAAAACACCGCTTTGAAGTGATGTAGCATTTTTTGCATATTTTTACCAACAAAGACAAAATAATAATCCTAACTGTTAACACCATTATACATTTCTAGAAGATCGATGTGCCTTCATGAAGTTACGAGTATTTGATTAGCTGTACTTGGATCTACTCAAAATTTTTAAAAAAAGTCCCAAAAAAGTCAATTTCTTTCCCCAAAATAGTGAAGTTTTACCTACAATATAAAAAAATGGAAAGAAAAATACATTATACAAAAGTTGAAAAAAAAAGTTTTGACTAATGTTGTGAAAATGTCATATTAGTCGTTAAAGGGTTAACACAGGCTACTTATTCCCTCTCACGAGCTTGAAAAGAACAATCTGTGTTGCTTAAATTTATGTAATGAGAAGATGATTATAATGTTTCCCAGCATTTGTTAATCAAACTGTACTTGATAGTTTAAAGACTCAAACAAATGGTGTTGAACATAACTTAAAAGCATGCATTATCACAATTTAACACAAAATTTCAGTTATTTTATTAACATTTGTATTACACCTGGAAAGTTTCTTTTCCAGATTTACATAAAGAGATGCATTTACTTAGAAAGAACATATGCACTTACCGACTAGGTTCATCAGAATTCTTATTACAAGTATTATCATGAGGCACTGAGAATTTAGAATTGGGTTTCAGTGGTGGCCAGGAGCAAAAATACCTATGAACAACAATAAGACGCTGTTGCAATCTAGTTGCAGATAATGTTGAACTAAATGCTTCACAACCGAATAATCTTTGCTCATTTTTCATAAGCTCCAAGCACTGTTTTAATTGATCTACACCTAAAAGTAGGTACAAAACTCATAAAAATTTATGCATAGCTAACACACACAAAAAAAAAAAAAAAAAAAAAAAAAATGAATTCTTTTTAAATACACATACAAAATGACTAGCACATTAACAAAAATTTAAAAAATGAATTCTTTTTAAATACACATACAAAATGACTAGAACATTAACAAAAGCTATAGACACAAAGCAAGTAACTGCATGAAAACAGTTTTTTATTACACAGTTCTATACCTAGTTTGTTCTAATTAAAACTTGATGTTTCTACTGAAAGGAAGTAGATTAATTCAAAAGTAACCAAATATCTTATACCCCTATAATTGAAAACTGGATACCATGAGGAGGATGGTTGAAAGCACTTCTGTCAGTCTTGTATTCTCTTAAAGGCAAAGCCTTAACAGCCTCAAACTTGCCATATTAGTGGTTAATTATCACTGTGGGATTTGTTTAAATAAATCATTAACCCTTTGACTGCTAAATTTGTGGACCGAAATCACTTCAAAAATTGTGTGCGTGTTTTTTTTTTTTTTTTTTTTTTTTTTCCCCATATTTTAAATCTACATATATTGGAGAATTGAAAAATGCACTTTTCTTTCTAGAAAATATTTTTATTTAGACTTTTAATCATGAGAAACTAAGTTGCCAGAAAAACCAATTTCAGATGTTATCACCAAAAAAAAATTTTTTTTTAATAAATTTCAGTCGAGTTACAGTTAATTTCTACTTATTGCATAATATAAAAAAGTAAAATCTATAAAATTTAAGAAAATATAAAGCACCGAGGAAAAAATACCTTAGAAATGCAGTTTAGTATGATAGAGTTCAAAACAGGTGTTCAGTCTTACCTCCCTGATATATGAACTGTAAAATGTAAAAAATGCCTCCAGAGGGCAGTGCTGTGCAAAAAGGGAATAACCCAGAGTGTGTTCTCCCCTTGGAGAAGAGAGTGTTCCCACCTTTGTGGCAAAAGTGTTGAAATAATTATAGAGATGTGAAATAAAGCTACAGTCCTAACTTATAAGTGTTTTCGAGTTATTGAGAAGTTGTGATTTATAATATGAACTTTCATGGGCCGACGAGCTCGAATTAGAAACGAATCAGCAGCATCTAAATAGCGAGTTCGTAAAAATGAAAGTGTGCTCTTCTTCCGAAGCGAACACAGTGTAACCTGTGTTCATAATAATGGAAGAAAAAATTCATTCACTAAAGCGTGAAAAAGCTACCCAAAAGGGTAAAATCACCCATTTAGTAAGTTTTGTAGAATCGGTGGTTGAACCATTAACCCTCTGGGCGGCCAGGGATTTCGCTAAGAAAGCACAAATTTCCCAAAACTGCTATGAGAACAAATTATTTTTTTTTTTGATTTTAATGCAAAACTCTCTTGGTATTTCATACCTGGATTTGTTTTCTTTTGATATATTGCCTTAATTTCGTTGACATATTTTAATATGCACGTATATATACGTTCTTACAGATTACGAAATTTACGACGCTTCAACAAAATTATGGTTCAAACATGAATGAGTTTGGTAAGAAAAATAATGTTCCCAAATTGAATGACTTAATTGAATTTCTAAAAAATCATATAAGAACTTTAGAAGCGTCTAGAGTTTCTAAGAACACGAACCAAAAACATTATTCTAAAGGTACAGTGTTGTTAAGTAATGTCAAGCCATATATATAAGTGTAGTTTCTGTTTGGATAATCATATTACATATAAATGTCCTAAATTTCAAGATATGTCAGTGAATGATAGGGTTGAATTTCTAAAAAAGCAAAGATTGTGTTTTAACTGCTTTTTAAACCATAGTGTAAAGCAGTGTTCTTCAAAATTTTCTTGTGCTAAGTGCGGTAAAAAAAATAACACCCTAATTCACTTTGAGAAAAGAAATAATAATTCATCCCATGGCGTACATTCTCAAAAAGCATCTTTTGCCCCGAATAATGCTAGTGAAATAAATATTTCAAGTGAATTAAATCCGAACGTGATTAGTTTCGAAACCAAAAATGCGACTCCCGCCATTAATTAGCCATTTGTCGGAACGAGTTATGAATGTGAACACAAATCCTTCTCGGCGCCAGGGCAAAGGTTTCCTTTTCAAGGTCGAAAAACTTACACATTTTTATCTACTGCTGTGATTAAGGTTTGAATGGGAAATGGAGAATTAATAAACATTTTAGCAATTCTTGGCATAGTCACTCAGGTCAGCTTTCGAAAATAAGAAAATAAAATAAAAAAACAAGCAATAAATGCTCTTATAACTTGCCTGAATAATTCGATTTTAACTGTTAAAAGTAAGGTAGTAACATCAGTGAACAATTCGAATGAAGACTTTAAAAGAAATGTTGAATTTTTAATTGTAAATAATATTAGTCATCTTACTCTTTCGAAACAATTGGATGTTAAAAAAATTTGTTTTCCATCAAATATTTGTTACGCTGACAAAATTTTTTATAGACCAACGAAGATTGATGCTCTTCTGGGAGCTGATATATTTTACCTGCTGCTGAAACCAAATCAAATAAAATTACAAGAGGAACCTATAGTGTTGCAAGAGACGGTGCTTGGTTGGGTAGTGAGTGGGTCTATGAATTTAAGTAAACAAAAGAGTTTCCATTGTGGATTAGTAAACAATTTTGAAGATTTAGATAATCAATCAACAAAATTCTGGGAATTAGAATCCCTTGGTATTTAGGACACTGAATTAAGAAATGAGGAAGATAAGGCCCTAGAGATGTTCAATAAAACAGTATGTTTTAAAGACGGACGATATGAGGTTGGGTTACCTTGGAAGAGGAATTGGAAGGAGCTTAAAGACAATTATGATGTTGCAAAAAATTTACTTGCAAACCTTGTTAAGAGAATGAAACGTGATAATTCCCTATATTTAGAGTATTGTGATATCTTGAATAATTATTTGAATGAGGGAATTATTGAGAAAGTGATGAGCCCAGTTATGCAAGCGAATAAACCTTTTATATTACTTACCTCACCATGCAGTTGTATAGCAAGAGAGCTTAACTACTGAGGTAAGGATTGTTTTTAATGGAAGTTCGCATGAACCAGGTCAATTATCTCAAAATGATTGTTTATATCAAGGAGTTAATTTAAACCCAAATATATTTCATTTATTGACATTCTTTTGCTTGAACAAGATTGCCTTCTTGGCAGATATAGAGAAGGCTTTTTTGCAAATTTCTTTACGTGAGAGAGACAGACGCAATGAGATTTCTTTTCATTGACAATATGAATTATGTATGTGTATATAAATTCAAAAGGATAATTTTTGGAGTAAATAATAGTCCCTCTTTGTTGACAGTAACTATAAAAACCATATAGAGAAATACAGAAAAAACTTTCCTGCTACAGTAAGATGACCTCATCCCAGGTAATGATGACATGCCTTTGAAATTTCTGTATAAGTAAATAAGTGTCCAAAAAAATAATGAGAGATGCTGGGATTCCCTTAAGGAAGTGGATTACAAATTTTGAAAGGTTAATTAAGGAGTGGAAAGCTGTGGGATTTAAGCAGTTAAGTCTAGAAGATTTAAAGGACAATTTACACAGAGTTCTTGGTCTCTTATGGGATCCATGTAATCCTTAGAAATTAATAGTTTGAGATAGATAATAGAATTTCTCCAACAGGAAAGGAACACCAAGCAGTTTCTAATAATGGCTGCTGGAAGAATCTTCAACCAGTTGGGTCTTGTGACTCCTTTTACTATCCGTTTCAAGTGCCTGTTCCAGGAGATCTGGCAAAGAAAACTTGGAATGAAGCTTTACCTCCTGATATAAGCGAGAAGTGGATGAGGTGATGTAAAGAAGTTCTGCAACTTAAAAATTTAAAGGTTCCAAGATATATACTTGGTTTTTTTACTGATCAAGATGCAAAACTGGAAATTCATACATTTTCCAATGCTAGCACTAAGGCAGTTATGGAGCAGTTGTTTACGTTAAGTTAAAGGTTGAGAATAAAATCTTAATCAATCTTGTAGCTTCAAAATCCAGAGTGGCTCCATTAAAGAAGCTGTCATTGCCAAGACTTGAGCTTATGGATGCCTTACTTGTGGCAAGATTAGCTAGTGAACTGAAACCAATTATTGACAAAAAACAAATATATAAAAGTTTTTTTTTTTTTTTTTTTTTTTTTTTTTTGAGTGATTCAAAAGTCACCTTATACTGGATTCAAAGTCCAAGTAAAAAGTGGAAGCAATTTGTATCAAATCGTGTGAAGGAGATACAAAGCTTAACAACTGAGGCTACGTGGCATCATTGCCCAGGCATGCCTAATCCAGCTGCTTTACTTATCCATAGTGCAAGTAGTGATTCTCTTCTATAATTCAACTTGGTGGACTGGACCTTCCTTCCTAAAAGTAACTATTCCTGAGCCTCCAGAACGTAGTGTCATTGAGGATAAGTATTTTAATGAACTGAAAAAAAACTGTGTAATACTGACGCTTTGAAACTTTTTAGTATAACAAAGGACTTTAACTTTTTAAATCGTATTTTTGACTTAAGTAATGATTTTATGCATATTTTACGTGCTATAAGTTTTCTTTTCAGGTTCATCTATAATAAAAGACACCCGAGTACCAAAAGGTCAGGATATGTAACCGCTGCTGAACTAGAACAAGCAGAGTTTTTTTTTTATCAGACAGGTACAATCTCAAGAATTTTCGGCAGAGCTGAAAAGTTTATCTAAGGGTGAAACGGTAGCCCACAATAGTAAGCTAAAATGTTTAGCCCCCTTTTATTGATGAAAATTCTATTATTAAAGTTGGTGGTCGTCTCCAAAATTCTACTCTTGAGTTCTGTAAAAAACATCCTGTGGTGCTTCCACCAAACAATCGTTTAACAGATTTAATTGTAATGTATTTTCACAAAAAATGCTTTCATGTGGGACCGCAAATTTTATTATATTATGTGAGAGAAAAATACTGTAAATGGGAGAAATAGTTGCAGAAAGATTTGCCATTAGTGCGTTGTTTGTTT